CTAGGCCCTAAGTTAAAGCCCCAGAGCCAGCACAAAAAGGAAGGAAAAAAGAAAAAGAAAGGAAGGAACGAAGGAAGGAAGGAACGAAGGAAGGAAGGGAGAAAGAAAGAAAGGAAGGCAAGAAAGAAAGTCAAGAATGAAAGAAAGGAAGGAAGAAAAGAAGGGAGAAAGAAAGAAAGGAAGGCAAGAAAGAAAGTCAAGAATGAAAGAAAGGAAGGAAGGAAGGAAGGGAGAAAGAAAGAAAGGAAGGCAAGAAAGAAAGTCAAGAATGAAAGAAAGAAAAAAAGGAAAAAATAAAGAGAAAGGAAACAAAGAAAGAAAGAAAGAGCAAGCAAGCAAGCTAGGTGGGATGTATCAAAAGCAATTTTTAAAAATTCATGGCAATTGATTTATGTCTAAGAGATCTATCTAAAGTAATCTCTAATGAAGTATTTATATTGCTGCTATAAGAAGACAAGTCTCACCAGGCACCAGTGGCTTATGCCTACAATCCTAGCTACACAGGAACAGATATGAGGATTGAAGTTCAATGCTAGCTCTGTTGAAAAGGTTGTGGGACTCTTATGTCCAGTAAAAAATATACCAAAAAGTTGAAAATGCAACTTTGGCTCAAGTGGTAGAGTGCTAGTCTTGTGCACAAAAGCTTAGGGACGTGGTTAGGCCCTGAGTTCAGGGCCAGCATGAAGAAGAAAGGAAAGAAGGGAAAGGAGGAAGAGGAGGTTGGGGGAGAGGTTGTTTGTTTGTTTTCCTGAAGGTTTGGTGTGATTTCTTACATACTGAGTAACAAGTAGTAGTGTTTCTAGGGACTCTACCACCAACCTTTAAACCCAGCTCATGATTAGTAACATTTTTTAATGAAAATATCATGTCTGTTTTCTTTTACTCTTGCCAGAAAACAATAGACTAATTTGGATTGTTTTATTGGTTTCAGGCTAAAATTTTAAGAATACTAACATGTTTGTCTCGTATCTCATTCTTATGTTCATAGAGCATTTATGAAAGAAAAGACTAACAAACAAAAAATATTTCCCAAAACAGCAGGTGCTGGGGGCTCATGCCCGTAATCCTAGCTACTCAGGAGGCTGAAATCTGAGGATCTCAGTTCAAAGCCAACCTGGACAGGAAGAATCTAATCAAAACTCTGGAAATGGATCTGTGATTCCAAATGGTAGAACACTATCCTTGAGCACGAAAGCTCAGGGGCAGCACCCAGGCCTTGAGTTCAAGCCCAAGGACAAGCACATACAAAAATACTTCCCAAAATAAAATAATACATATAGCTAAAAATCAATTCTTGAAAATGAATTTTTGTTGTTGTTGTTTGTGGGGTTTGCTTAAACTCAGGGCCTGGGTGCTGTCCCTGAGCTTTTGTGCTCAGGGCTAGTGCCTTACCACTTTGAGCCATAGTGCCACTTCCAGTTTTCTGATGGTTAATTGGAGATAAGAGTCTCATGGGCTTTCCTGCCCAGGTTGGCTTTGAACTGCAATCCTACCAACACCGGGCTATAAATGAAATTTTTTTATGCTACAAAGAGTTGCACAGATTTAAAGGAGGTGATCCAGCTTAGTGCTCCTGGCTCACACTAGTAATCCTAGCTAATGGGGAGGCTGAGATCTGAGGATCAAGATTTAAAGCCAGACCCAGCAGAAGAGTTTCTGAAAATCTTATCTCCAGTTAATCACCCAAAATCCAGAAATGGAGCTGTAGTTCAAAGGGATAGCTCACAAACCTTGAGAAAAAAGCCAAGAGACAGAGCCTAGGCCCCAGTACTGATGTGTGCATGTGTGTGCGTGCGCACGCGCACACACACACAAACTAGGTGATCCAGGAGATATGGTGGGGTGCATCTGTATCCCAGATACCTGTGAGGCTGAGGCAGGAGGATTGTTTGAGCCCAAGAATACAACGCCAACTTGAGCAACATAGCAACATGGGAGGGAAAAAAAAAGTACTTGATCTAAAATTGTTTTACTTCTAATTTTGCTTATATCTGGCTTTAGCTCCTATTAGCTATTGTTACAATAATGCTTCTTCACAAATCATCTCCAAACTCAGCCCTGTTTAATGTGAAGTATATGAAGTGGGGCTGGAATTGACTGATCTAGACTTGGTTTGGTTCCAAGTCTGTTCCCTCCAAGTCTGCATCCTGGGACATGTCCCTCTCCCACCACAGTGGAGTGCAAGAGGACAAGCCTCAGATAGGCCCATTGCAAGCCTTTGCTTGTCCTGCCTTCTTGTACCTCATTGGCCAAAGGCAAACAAACATCAGCTCCTGGGAGGAGCTTTCTCTCACAGTAGGAGAGGAGGGAGGTGAATGTGGGCAGATCAACAATGCGAACTATTACATGAACTACACATCACATAATTGTCTACCACCCAACATCTGTGTCTCTGAGTCAAATCTACCAACAGTGAAATAATTCAAGCGTGACAATTAGTCTGTGAAATGCAATACATGGTAGGGAAATAATCTATATGGCAGTAAAGGGTTTTTTTTTTTTTTCCTGAGAAATTTGCAGTTAAGATAAAACCATTACAGATATAGCTCAGTGGTGGAGCATTTCCCTATCATATGTAAGGCTCTGGTTTTGTTTTGTCTGTGTGCCAGTACTAGAACTTGAACTCGGGGTCTGTGCACTGTCCCTGAGCTTCTTTGCTCAAGTCTAGTGCTCTAGAACTTAAGCCATACCTCACTTTTGGCTTTTGGTGATTAATTGGAAATATGAGTCTTATGGACTTCCCAGGCTGCCTTCAAACTGTGATCTTCAGATCTCAGCCTTCTGAGTAGCTACTATTACAGGCCTCCATTACATGAGCCTCCAGTGCACCTCCAGTGTGTGGCAAGAACATAGTTTTGATCTCCAGCATTTAAAAGACAAAAAGCAAGAAGGGATTGCAAGCATGTCACCAAACTCTTCTGGCCCAATTTCAGCAATCCAGTAAGATTCAACAGCTATTGTATTTTGAAATGAATTACAGCCCATAGATCTTGAGTAATCCATTGTTCATATAGCCTATATAATGGGAATCCATATAATATAAAATAAAGGAATGTGAGCAATACTAAAATAATAAAAATGTATTTAATTTCCTATTCATTTATTTAAGGTATCATGTAAACTCCAATAATTTTTGGTGTTTTACCATCTGATCATTCAGTTGATTCTTGCTAGAAAATGTTGGATATAGTAATCTTACACATCCCTAGTTTCTCTACTTATTTTACTAAGCACAGGGTCTCACACATGCTAAGTATGGGCTTTACCACTAAGCTATGTCCCCAGTTCTTCATTTGGTTAATTTAGCACAGAGACTGGTAAAATATGCCTCATGGGATAAATATGGGCTACTATTTATTGGATCCTAGCTATGCCCATTTGTTTATAATTTGTCTAATGGCTGCTTGCACCCTGTAATAGCAGCTTGAGAAATTACAACAGAGAAGATAGCACTAAAGCCTAACATATTTACTACTACAAGCAAAGCTTGCCAATCATGAATTAACATGATGGGAGCACTTGAAATCTTTGAATTGGGCTAATTGGAATGAATATTGTTCTTGAGTTACTTTAAGGAAAATTTCTTATTAAGGAAATTAATTAGGTAAACAAATATGGCAGATTGTTTTAACTTATTGAAGAAAACCTTTTTGACAGCTTTGGTTAGGAACACTCATTTCCCAAACAGGAAATTATATATACAAATTAAATAAGTTTGTGTGGACTGAGCATGCAGCTCAGTGGTAGAGTTCTTTCCTAGCATATGAAATCCTCTTGGTTGGATCCTTAGCACAAGGGAGGAGGGGGACAGGAAGGGAGAGAGGGAAGAAGGACGGAGGGAGGAAGGAATGAAGGAAAAAAGAAAGAAAGAAAGGTAGAAAGAAAGAAGGAAAGAAAGAGTGAGTCAGATGTTGGTGGCTCATGCCTATAAGCCTACCTGTTCAGAAGGACAAGATCTGGAGGATTTTGGTTCAAAAATAGCCCAATCAGAATAGCCCACAAGATTCCATCTGCAATAAGACAGACTAGAGGTATGGCTCAAGTGGTAGAGCACCATCCGTTCAAGCCTCAGTACCAGCACACATGTAGATAATATATACATACACACACACAAAATAAATACTCCATTATTTCTAGTATGTATGTGGAATTGAGAAGAGAATTAGAATAATCTAGAATTAGAATCATTTGTTTTTATGAGGTTTAAAACTTTTTTATTAATAATTGTACAAAGAGTTACAATTCCATAAATCAGATTGTGAGTACAATATATCTTGATCAAGGTCACCCCTTCCATCATTTTCCCCGTTCCCCCTCCCATCCATATACTCAAGTATGTACATAGTTCAGTTTTTACAAAGTGTGCATTGAATATAATGACTACATTTGCTCACCCTTTCTCCCTCCATTCAGGTTTCTCCCCACTGGCCCCTCTCCAAAATAAAACATGTTTCTACTTCCTGGTATTTGAGACATATTTTCCCCTGGTCTCCCTAGGCAACCCAGGCTAACCTTGAATTAAAGATTTTCCTTCTTTGGTCTCTCAAAGTACTGGGAGTGCAGGCATGTACTACCATACCAGTGTTGGGTTATTTCTACTGTGTACTCTGACAGATATTACATATTTCTGTGTTCTGGATTCAGTTTAAGCCTCAAATGTATCAGGCTTCCATGTTGGAGGAATCCATTCGAGCCCCCTTTTCTAATCTGGGTTTGGGTTGGATTGGAATTCTCTATAAAATACCTGATGGATCCTGCAGTAAGAGATTAGGTTAAAAAAAAAACACAGAAAACAAAGGAAGAGTTAACTGACCATAGTTCACAAAGCAAACTTTCCTAGACAACATCAACTACCAGACAGATTAGGAGCCATAGGTCAAAATGGGTTTCTTTACAAATCATGTGAATTTGTAATCCACAAAATGACAGCTATATTCTCCTTTGTGTCAGCTATATCCATTTGGCTCAAATGGACTTTTTTTGCTTTTTGTTTTCTCCAGGAACTGGGTGGGAGAGTATGCTGCTAACGGTGGAGGAAGCAACCTTGGGAGCTACGGAAACATCCTACCCAGAAATGACTATCAAGGTAAGGCACAGGCCAGTTCTCCCACTGCATCTCCAGATTCCAAGGAGCTTCTCCGGGGCCAGAGCTAGTACTGCCCCTCCACTCACCTGGGTTTTCTCTCTTCACTGATGCAACCCACAACGGATTTCCTGAAACCTGGGAGTAGATTAAGAAATCATTTGAAAACTAGAATCTAAGAGCCCCTTTCCAAAGAGCTCATTGTAGGGTTTTCAGAGAACATCTATGTGTAGGCTGTTGGCAAGTGGTAACCTCCGTGGGGTCAGTGAAACAAAAGCAGAATTTCTAAGCTGAGAAATCGGGCCCCACTGTGCATTGTGAAGAAAGGTCAGAGACACATCAAGTGGCTTTGATCTGGACTCAAGATTTCCAGTGATATCAGCGGGAAGGAAGCGCATGGCCCATTCCAGCCAGCACGCCAATGGCCAATGGTTTGCAAAATGAGTCATTGGGAAAGCAACTAAATTATCACTGTTCAAATTAAATGCATGAAATTTGTAATCATTGCCTAGACTAAGGAATCTATAATGAATGTTATTAGAGACTCAACCACTTCATTTCTGCTACTGGATTAGACACAAAAGATTTGTTCTCCTTTCTTGGAATTTTACTGTTTTAGTTGACAAAGATTGGGGGTGGAAGGGCTTTCTCACATTTTTCCTTGAATGACTAGAATTTGAATACATGCCACTATTCACTGTTGCTTTGGGTGGAAAAAAAAGTTGCTCCTTTTTACATAGAGATTCTACTGGAGATATTTCATGCCTAGATTTATTAGAAGTTACACAACATATTATATCAGATGAGTTGGTTCAAGTCTTTCTTATAATGTGAAGGCTGAACATATTTGAGCTATGTTATAAAAAGTAAAGGTAGCAAGCAAGCGTCACTATAGTGAAATTGAAAGAAAAATAGGATAGTAGATGATTGGACAAAAAGTCAACTAATCTAAATAACTGTCCAAAGCTTTCTGCAAGGTCATTTGCTGGTAATTGTGTTTAGCAGAATTTACAAGACAGTAATAGAAATCGCAATGAGGGGCTGGTGCTGTGTTGGCTATATGACAAGGATGGAGTCTAGGGCCATGCTGGACAGAGGGGATAATGCCAAAAGTGAAATCTGACAGAATTGCTGTCTTTTTTTTTTTTTTTGGCGGGGGTGGAAGGGGGGGGGTTGTGTCCGGTCGTGGGGCCTGAATTCTGGGCCTGGGCGCTGTCCCTCACCTCTTCAGCTCAAAGCTAGCGCTCTACCACTTGAGCCACAGTGCTACTTCCGGCTTTTTTCTTTTTGCTTATGTGGTGCTGAGGAATTGAACCCAGGGCTTCATGCATGCAAGGCAAGTGCTCTACCACTGAGCCACTTTCCCAGCCCCAGAGTTGCTGTCTTGGAACACCATTATATTCAGAAGCGGTTTTTGAAATAAGTTACTATAGCTACAGATATGGTTATGGATGGACAAATACATGACCCAAAAGACTATAGTTAACTTTAGCTTGTTCTAAAACTTAAAACAATTCTGTGTGTGTGTGTGTGTGTGTGTGTGTGTGTGTGTGTGTGTGTGTGTGTGTGTGTGTGTGTGTGTGTGTGTGTGTGTGTGTGTGTGTGCTGGTCCTGGGGCTTGAACTCAGGGCCTGGGCAGTGTCTCTGAACATTTTTTTTTTTTTTTTTTTTGCCAGTCATTGTGCCTGAACTCTGGGCCTGGGCACTGTCCCTCAGTTCTTCAGCTCAAGGCTAGTGCTCTACCACTTGAGCCACAGCACCACTTCCAGCTTTTTCTGCTTATGTGGTGCTGAGGAATCGAACCCAGGGCCTCATGAATGCAAGGCAAGCACTCTACCACTGAGCCACCTTCCCAGACCTCTCTGAACATTTTTGCTCAATGCTAACATTCTACCACTTGAACCACTACTTTTGTCTTTTTGGTGGTTAATTGGAGGTAAGAGTCTCATGGACTTTCAGATCTCAGCTTCCTGAGTAGCTAGGATTACAGGTATCAGCCACTGACTCCTGACTCAATTCTTCTTTTTATTAGGATGCACTTGTACAAAAGAAAAGATTTTATTGTAGTATTTCTTACATGTGTAAAATGTGATTTGGCAAATGGAATAGTCTTACAAAAACAAGTCTTGTCCAAGTCCCGTTTTTAGGGTCACTTCATAACCTGCCTATTCATTCTTAAAATCAGATACAACTGGCACCAATTGGGGTTGTCCTTGGATTTACAGAGATTAAGGATCACATGCTTTTTCCTTCCTTCCTTCCTTCCTTCCTTTTTGATTTCTTTCTTTTTGTGCCAGTACTAGGGCTTGAAGTCAGGTCCCTTAGCTTTAGTGCTCAAGGCTAGCATTATACCACTTGAGTCACAGCTCCACTTCTGGCTTTTTGCTGATTAATTGGAGATAAGAATCTCATGGACCTTTCTTCCCAGGCTGACTATATCAACTAGACCTCTAAAGAAATTGCTGGTCACAGAACTTCCTTTCTTCTGGGGAACAAACCATCCAGAGCTAGCATGCTGAAGTGTCTTGACCTTATTCAACTAGTGCACTGCTATACCCTTCAAGTTTTATCTGCTTGGTTCTGTGTTATTTTCTTGAATTTGAAATGTCATGACTTGGTTTCCATTTTAATCAAATACATTCATTAAAATCTAAATACCATCTTTATCTTATTTTCCTTTTATGCTTTAGTATTCCCAATAGTATTACTTTTATTTTTTAACTGTTACATTTATGTATTAAAAGCACAGTGCAATTAGATTAGAGATTCATTGGATTTCAAACTATTCATCTTAATTCACAACAATATCTAATTTACTGAAAAAGTAACAGAACACAAAGGTCAGAGCATTTTACCTTCAAATTCAGTACAAACAATAATTTATCACAATTCATTTAATAAGATCTAGAAAGTCCTTAAGAAATTAAGCTAAGGGGCTGGGAAGGTGGCTCAGTGGTAGTGCACTTGCCTTGCATGCATGAGGCCCTGGGTTCGATTCCTCAGCACTACATAAGCAAAAAGAAAAAAGCCAGAAGTGGCACTGTGGCTCAAGTGGTAGAGCGCTAGCCTTGAGCTGAAGAGCTGAGGTACAGCGCCCAGGCCCAGAGTTCAGGCCTCACAACTGGATCCAAAAAAAAAAAAAAAAAAAGAAATTAAGCTAATACCTATTCAGTTGAGGGACATAAATTCTACACATATTATTACACAATTATTTCTCCATAATGCAAAGAAATAGAATATATTGGGGCGGGAAGGTGGCTTAGTGGTAGAGCACTTGCCTTGCATGCATGAGATGCATGAGGCCCTGGGTTTGATTCCTCAGCACCACATAAGCAAAAAGAAAAAAGCTGGAAGTGGCACCGTGGCTCAAGTGGTAGAGCGCTAACCTTGAGCTGAATAGCTGAGGGACAGTGCCCAGGCCCAGAGTTCAGGCCTCATGACTGGACCGCCCCCCCAAAAAAAAGAAATAGAATGTATTATGGAAGTTGATGAAAAATTAGTCATTCAGAAATGTAAAAATCAACAGGGCACTGGTGGCTTACCCCTGTTATTCTAGCTAATTAGGAGGCTAAGGATCTGAGACTGCAGTTCAAAGCCAGCCAGGACAGGAAAGTCCATGAAACTCTTCTAATTAACCAACTTCAAGTACTAGAGTGCTGGACTTGAGCAAAAAAAGTTCAAGAAGAGCGCACATACACATACGTGCATGTGTTCACATGTGCGCACACACATACACACAATGTAAAAATTGGCAAAAGAAAAATTGTACTTACCTTGCTATTTCAGACCATACTCGGTTCCTTTAGAATATCCATTTTGACAGTCAGTAGGGTTCATTACATACTAAAAATAACACTATATTAAAACATAGAAAAACTAAATTTTATTAGTAAATGCTGATTTTTTAAAAAGATTGTCCATATGGCACTGGTGGTTCATACTTGATGACTTGGGACATGGAGATTGACATGTGCTGTCTCTGAGGTTAGCCTAGGAGAAAATGTTACAGATCCACCCTCTTGAACAACAAAAACTTGGGCCTAATACAATATGCCTGTCATGCCGTTTATGTGGGTATATGGGATAATCATAGTCCATGCAGAACCTAGGCAAAAATGGTAGATACTATTTAAAAACCAAAGCAAAAGAGACTGGAGGCATAACTCAAGTGGTAGAGCAATAATAATCTTACTTCTGTACTCATTCTGTATTGATCCACTTACTCTTTTGTTTATGACTCCTTTAACTTTCACAAGATTTAATGGGTTTCATTATGACATTTTCATACATGCTTAGAATATGCTTCCATCATAATCACCTCCCCTCACTCTATTTTCTCTTCCCTAGCTCACTTTCCTTCCCTCGTTCACATCCATATCCTCTTCTTCTCTTTTTCTTCATCTAGACTCCCATATGAGAGAAATTTACAATAATTGTCTTTCTGAGCCTGGCTGAAGATGTATTGAGATAATTGTGTGATATTTGTTCCTGATTCTGTTTTTGTATTGTATTCATTTTCTGGTTTGTGGATATTGAACCATCTTAACATCCATAGAATGAAACCAATTTGGTTATGACATATAGTCTTTTTAATGTATTGTTGAGTTAGTATTTTCTAGAGGACATTTGCATCTATTTTCATCAAGGAAATTTATCTATAAATTTGTTATTGTTGTTTCTCTGTCCTTAACCTAATCCAGTTTTGGTATCAGGGTAATAATACTGGCTTCATAGAAGCGTTTGTCATCTTTTGCTTTCTGCTTTATGGAATAATTTGGGGACCATTGGTGTTAGTTCTTTCAAGGTCTCTGTTCGGTCATATGCCAGTTACTCTTTTTTTTTTTTTTGTCAGTCATGGGCCTTAAACTCAAGGCTTAGGCACAGTCCCTAAGCTCTTTTCACTCAAGACTAGTGGTCTAATACTTTGAACCACAGCTCCACTTCTGGTTTTCTGGTGATTAATTGGACATAAGAGTCTCACAGACTTTCCTGCCTAGGCTGGC